AAAAAAAAAAAAATTGCAGAGAAAAGACAACAAGCATGTAATATTACAACAAGTTTAATACATTTTAACCCAAATGCATTAGTTCTAAATCTTAGATAGATGGTGCATTACTCATATGCAAGCACAGATAACAGATAAATGTAAATCCAAATCATCGAAAACAAGAATAGGTGACCTACCCTCCGCCTCGCCCCAAGCGTCTTCCAGATTTGTCAAAAGCAAGTCCTGTGATAATAAAAACATATTTTGTCATGAAAGTGAAAAGGGCTTCCACTCAAGCCACCGCAAGTTCTAAGGGTCTTACCGGGTAAAATAAACAGGTCAACTGGTTCACTTGCAAACATAACTGCATACATAAAATTACGTTTTATTCAACATCACATATAAGTAGCAGATGATGAAATGATTGCAACACAATTAATAAAATATAGTTAGATTTCTCTTCTAAGATATTTTGCAAAATCCTATCAATGTCCCGATACGAAATTAATATGCCTTTAGCAAATAGTGTTGTCGTCCTTCTCTTGATGAAAATACTGATCAAAGCTATGAGGTAAATTAAGTCAACCATTTATTCATACTATTCAGAACATTAAGTCAGTCAGCCATGTAAAGATTCTATATGCAGCAAATAGTGAAACACTATGAGAACAGACAAATAGTAATTCCATCAAAAATTAGAAAATGGGTGTTTTGCAACAAAAAGAATTTACCATCTTCACGTTCGTTTCCCTCAGAATCACAAGGAGCAGGTTCCAGTATGTCCATTGAGTTTGCAATCAAATCATCCATACCCGAGATATTTAGCATACGCATGAAACTATTCTTGTCTTCCACTCTAGGAACATAAAGCTTCTTTCTCACCTGTGAACGATCATCTTAATAAAAATGAAGAAAAAAAAGAAAAAGGTAAGGACCTTTTGTAATTGATACAACATTAAGAAGCACACAAACAAGAAAACACATCATGCTCACTATTCAAACATCATGCTCACTATTCAAACATCTATAGAAAGTCACTCATAGATATTTCTTTTTGAAAATCTCACACAACTCTAATTTCAAATGAAGTGGCTATACAACCAGAGTATTGTGGAGTTTGATCAATTTCAATGAGTTTTTACTGATGACAGCATACCAATGTTCCCCATTCCTAAGCTAAAACAACAAATGTCGAAAAGAAATGCTAGATAAAAAATGTAATCAATTTCGACCATTTGAATCGATTCAATCGACAAACTGCTCAGGTTCTAACCATCTACAGATTTCTACCAGTATAACATGTTCTACATAGATATATCATCAAAATAACACCTCAAAAAGGAAAGCACATTTTGACTCTGCCAAAGGCAAAACAAGAAACCAAAAAAAA